AAATCAACTAAGTCACCAACCAGCTCATCTCCCTCCTTCTCTAATGTAATTCAGGTGACTGAATACAGGAATGAGAAGTCCCGAATTTACTATTCTTGTTGAAACCTTGTCTATTTCTGGATGCATCCAATTGGAGAAGCCTCTTTTCTGGCAATCCTCCAAGCCACCTGCGCTCCTGAGCCATAACAATATTCAGGGGTGGGAAGGTCTTCCCTCTCCAATAAACAGCTGCAAAATGCTTCCTATGAAAAGGATATCAAAAAAAAAAGACACACTTTTTGTCTGTAACTATCAGCTCTGGGAAAAGATAATTTATTAACTATATTTCAAAGACAAATCAGCCTGCTAATTTCCAAATTACCTAGAAATCAAGGAAAATGCTGTGTGCAATAAATCCTCACTTTTCTATATAAGCCGAATATATAGAATAAAGAATATCCTTTCCCAAACAGGACACCCAGCATTACATCCCCTCCAATCCAATGCACAATTAACTATTTTAACTATTCCAGTTCATGACATTCCATCCTAATGCTTCAACATACTAGATTCGGAGGCATAAGGTAATGCACTACTGGAAAAATAATTACATTTTTATTTAAATAAATTAAATTTTCACCTGTAAAACAAAAATATACATGTCTGGCACTGCAGTAATGAATTTTAAACATTCACCACCACAGAGAGAACACTGCAAACTGTTACCTAAAGGAACTTTTTTTCCTACTATTTTATTCAACCAGTAGCTTATAAAAAAGCCAAAATCTGAAGTTTTATATTAATATTATAATTAAATAAAATCAGAACACGAACAACAAGCACCACAGTGGTAACAACAGCATCTTATTCTGGCTCCTCTGTAACTTAATTATATAGATACTGAAGAAAAACTTACATCATGAAAAAAAAAATCTTAATAAATTGAAAAAAAAAAAAAAAGCCTGTACTAATTTTCCTAACAGACAAGAGCAGAGACACAGAGAACAAAAAAGTTTGGCAAGCAGACTAGGTGTCACCTGAACAAATACTAGCTTTCAATGCAGAGGTAATGAATCCGGTAGAATTCATAATACAACTGGCTGCTTCTACTCAAGTAGCAGAACATCAGTTGGCCAGTTAGATAAGAGTCTTCAAAATTTCATTTTAGTAGTCTTGTTAGAAAATAAGATCTCAAACAGCATTTCTTTTTTCTGTTTTGATCAGATTTCCATTTGTGTAGATGACATCTCACACTTGTTTCCAGCTCTACCTTGGCAAACTCACTGGGTAGAATAACATGAATGGTAAACATCATGATAAATCAAATTACCATAAGATCATAGAATCATAGAATAGTTTGGGTTGAAAAGGACCTTTAAGGATCATCTAGTCCAACCTCTCCTGTGGGGACATCTTCCACTAGATCAGGGTGCTCAGAGCTCTGTCCAAGCTGACCTTGAATGTTTCCAGGGATGGGGCATCTGTCACCTCTGTGGGCAACCTGTCCCCATGTTTCACCACCCTCATCACAGGAAATTTCTTCCTTCCATCTAGTCTGAATCTACTCTCTGTTAGTTCAAATCCATTACCCCTTGCCCTATGGCTACAGACCTTATTAAAAAGTCTGTCCTTATCTTTCTTGTAAGGCCCTTTTAAGGACTGAAAGGCTGCAATCAGGTCTGCCCAGAGCCTTCGCTTCTCCAGGCTGAACAACCCCAGCTGTCTCAGCCCATCTTCATAGGCCCTCAGATCATCTGCGTGGCCTTCCTCTGGACCAGAGAGTAGTGGTCAATGGGACAGAGTCCAGTTGGAGGCCTGTATCCAGTGGAGTCCCTCAAGGTTCGGTACTGGGACCAGTATTGTTCAACATATTCATCAATGACTTGGATGACTTGGATGAGGGAATAGAGTGAATAGTCAGCAAGTTTGCTGATGACACTAAACTGGGAGGAGTGACTGACACACCTGAAGGCTGTGCTGTCATTCAGAGAGACCTGGACAGGCTGGAGAGTTGGGTGGGGAGAAATTTAATGAAATACAACAAGGGCAAGTGTAGAGTCTTGCATTTGGGTAAGAACAACCCCATGTACCAGTACAAGTTGGGGACTGAACTGTTGGGGAGCAGCACAGAGGAAATTGACCTGGGGGTCCTGGTGGACAGCAGGATGACCATGAGCCAGCAATGTGCCCTTGTGGCCAAGAAGGCCAATGGCATCCTGGGGTGTATTAGAAGGGGTGTGGTTAGTAGGTCCAGAGAGGTTCTCCTCCCCCTCTACTCTGCCCTAGTGAGGCCGCATGTGGAATATTGTGTCCAGTTCTGGGCCCCTCAGTTCAAGAACGACAAGGAAGTGCTTGAGAGAGTCCAGTGCAGGGCCACAAAGATGATTAAGGGAGTGGAGCATCTCCCTTATGAGGAAAGGCTGAGGGAGCTGGGTCTCTTTAGCTTGGAGAAGAGGAGACTGAGGGGGGAGCCTCATTAATGTTTATAAATATGTGAAGGGTGACTGTCATGAGGATGGAGCCAGGCTCTTCTCAGTGGCATCCAATGATAGGACAAGGGAAAATGGATGTAAGCTGGAACATAGGAGGTTCTGCTTAAACATGAGGAAGAGTAAGGGTAACAGAACACTGGAACAGGCTGCCCAGAGAGGTTGTGGAGTCTCCTTCTCTGGAGATGTTCAAAACCCACCTGGACACGTTCTTGTGTGATCTAATCTAGGTGGTCCTGCTCCGGCAGGGGGATTGGACTAGATGATCCTTTGAGGTCCCTTCCAATCCCTAACATTCTGTGATTCTGTGGACCCACTAACAGCTAACAGCTGTGTCTAACAGCTCCATGTCCTTATATTCAGGGCTCCAGAGCTGAACACAGTACTTCAGGTGGGGACTCACCAGAGTGGAGCAGAGGGGCAAAATCATCTCCCTCGACCTGCTGGCCACACTTCTTTTGATGCAGCCCAGGATACAGTTGGCTTTCTGGGCAGTGAGTGCACATCGCTGGCTCATGTCCAACTTTTCATCCACCAGCACTCCCAAGTCCTTCCCTGGAGGGCTGGTCTCAATCTTTTCATCCCCAGTCTGTACTGATACTGGGGGTTGCCCCGATCCATGTGCAGAACCTTGCAGTTGGCATTATTGAATTTCATGAGGTTCATATGGGCCATCCCATCCCTCAGGCATGTCAACCGCACCACTCAGTTTGATGTCATCTGCAAACTTGCTGAGGGTGCACTCGATCCCACTATGTCACTGATGAAGACATTAAACAGTACCGGCCCCCATACTGACACTTGAATCTCCATCTGGACATTGAGCCATTGACCACTACTCTATGAATGTGATCATCCAACCAGTTCCTCATCCACTAAAAAGTCCATCTATCAAATCGTTTTCTCTCCAACTTACATGAAACTAATCTGCTATTTTAAATCTAACTTCTTCCTATGGTTCTGCTAGCTACACATCAGATTTTGAGGCACTACAATGGATACACACTTTAGACGTGAATATTGTCAGTAAGAACATGTTTGATGTCAAGGTCAGTGGTTCTCAAGCCATGGAACACTAGGCTGCCAAGAGAAATGCCCACCTGCAACTCCAAGCACTACTGAAGGGTCATGGAATAAGGAGGCTCCAAGAAGAGCATCCCCTCAAAAAATTCATTTTGTCTGAAGTCTCTTAAGAGATATTGCTTGATTAAGTCACCCAATTAAAAGTAGTACACAGATTTGCTAAAAGACAAAAGAAAGTTTAGGTATAATAGCAGAAATAAGATAAAAATAGTAAAGCAAGCAGCAAGGAAACTAAAAGTTTAAAGTTTGCGTGAACACACTCCTTATTATTACCTATTATCATCTTAAGCCTTCAAAACCAGCAAATCACCATAGCCAGGAACATATATTGCTCACATACTAATTTAAGGGCAGACCAGATATGGCTCCACACTTTTTGAAGATTGTTAAGATTTTAGGCAGAACTTGTGAAACTGTCCAAGTTATTTCTACCACTGATACCCACCTTCTACCGCCACACTTCAGCAAATTCCTTTTGCAGTAAATTCTTATTATACTTCAGAAAAATTCCAGGCCTCAGGGAAAACGCAAGTCACAGAAAACAGGTTAAGGACAAGGTTCTACCCTACTGTCATCCTGCATGTGTTGAGCAGCCTTTGCCACACCTGTCTTCCAAAATATACCATCCTTCTCCAGCACTGCTTGAAGTTAAAATAAACCATTATCTCAGTATTCAAATACATATTGATAACAATGTAGACTCAAACTGAATCACTGAGAGTGATAGAATTACACAAAAATTTATTTACTTCATGATTTTTGCACTGGTGTGCAGTTTACTTACTACATTAATTATTTTCCCTTTAGAAGTAAGAATTATCTATTTTCTAGATAACTGTAATTCAGAAATGTATATGCACTCTTTAAAAAATAACAAATTTTTCAATATATATAAGCATATTTCTTCTATTGCACTAAACAAAAGAGAAAAATAACATGCACTTGTTCTCGAGTCATTTTGCTGTTTCCTATGAATTCACAGAAGCCTCAAATGGAGATGAAGCAGGGAGAGTAAACACAATGTAGACAAGTTTTATCCAATGCATACATGGTTTTATTCCATGTCCAAGTATGTAAGATGGGATATTAACCTTAAATAAGGACAATGATACATTAAAACTAGACAAAACTCAATTATTTTCTGGTAAATAAAACCTGAAAATTCTTTACTCTTTCTCTGAATTAAATAATTATTTTGGACGCATAAAACACTCCTTAAAAAAAGTTACATAACTTCGGAATATAACTTCAAAATTCAATTGTTTGAAAAATATTACATGGAAAAATCTTGAAAACGTCCTTCTTTCTCTGTCTTCAGTAATTCAAACTATTCAAAAACAGCTTGGAAGACAGAACTTCCAACATAGAGGGGCTTATTTTAAAAATCATTATTATAAAAAGTTACCAGGAGAACAGGTCACATATTTCAACTCCACATTATTTTTGTTAAAATTCATTGTGAGGGTTGTCAGTCAGTTATTCATATTCGTTTCAATGGTCTCTGTAAGACCATTACTTTTGTTCTCTTCTAGATAAGCAGCTCTCTTCTCAGTAAAAGTAGCAAACAGCGTATCCATCATTCCCAAAACTTCTAGCAGTTCCTCTTGATAGTCAATCTCTTTTCCTATGGCTTCCTGAAGTCTTAAGAATTGTCTATCAACAATCGCTGACTGCCCAACCACAGGCTGATAAATGTCTGTAAAGAAAAAAGTCACTTAAGAATCTATGCATTTATAAAACCATGAAAATTACATTACCTAATTAGAGATACATTTAAGTAGTCTGGTACATGTCCAATGCTGTGGACAAATAAGACAACTTTTAACAGTGTTGTGAAAACAGTTAATTATTGATATGTACTCACAGTAACAGTAAGCCAAACTAACAGAAACAGACATTTTTATGACGTCAAATACTACTTTTACCCAATTTTTACCCAAGCAGAACTTGTACTATGTACGTATAGCAACACGAAGTACAAAGATACTCTGAGACTATGAGGGGCTTCCTGCAGTCAGTGCAAATAAGATACTGACGGTCAAATTTAACTGGCAACATCTCCTTTTGGATCACTCTCCTGACACTGAGTTCATACTTACAAACAAACCCATAAAGGTTTGGTTTCTTAAAAATTCAGCACTTTCTACCTTATTTCCAAGCTAGCTACATGGCTTTGAGAATCTCTTTTGTGTTTTACTTACCAGTGATCATATCTGCAACAGTCACCAGTACAGGAGTAAATCTAGGCTCAATCACACGCCTGCAAAATTAGAAGACATCCCAATTTTACTAGTTTTGCCAATGCCCTCCTCCCACTAGCAAGCAGCTTTCTCATATAGGCATACACACAATTTTTTCTTCATGAAGAGACATCACAGAACAGCAGTCAGAGATGCGAGTCAAAGAAAGCTACATGTGGTGTTTACCCTACTCCTTTCAGGAAGGCAGTGGAGGTTGGAGGCCTGGCAAAAGCCTCAAGATGCATGAAGACACAAATTTCATCAAGGAGACAGAAAATAATAGACTGAGAGCAGAATGCCTGGCAAAGTAAAATATACTCTATCATACTATCAGCAAAATTTTTTTGTGCTAACAGATAAACTAGTTCAGTACCAGGAGTGAAATCCCAGACCTTGATATCAGAAAGCAGAAGGCATGCCAGATTTCAAGAGTACTAGTGTTCCACCTGTGATCTGCCAAGACACTGTGGCAAAAGCTGTTAAGAAACACAGGTCTCAAAAGAGTCAGAGGAAACTCAGGTTATAATAATACCTTGCCACAAAGGTAAGGAGGAGATTAATTTGCTTCTCGTCTCGGCCTGCAAGCGCGCTCCTCAGCGTTCCTCTGCGATGTAGTTCCTGCATGACGGCAACTGTAACTTCAGGAGTATAAAGCCTGATGGGTGGCTGGACAAAGACAGGAAGAGTTAACTACCAAAGCAACATCTTTACACACAAAACGGGGCTAACATTAGCCAAACCAAAACGGAACCCATAGAAGTTTTATTACTTTCTAGTTATACACTGAAATAAAATCAGTTTGACAGAAAAAAATCTGTGTCAGATCACCACTCACAATGCTGATGAGACAAAAAACAACGCCTTACCTCCAGTACTGCATCAAGGGCCTTGGAAGACTGAAAGGTCTTCAGCAGCTTGTCGTATTTCCTCAACACACGTTTTACAGGTTTACTGACACAGAAATCTTCCTAGAATCAAAAGATGAGTTCAGAATAAGACAAACACACACACAATTGATTAAATGTATTACCATGAACAAGATTATATGTCTTTGTATCTTCCCTCCCTTCCCTTTCTTCAACTTAGCACATACAAAAAAAAAAAAAAGAAATTTTGAGGAGTGCTTTTGTATACATTTTCTCACCCCTCTATACCTGTCTTGGCATGTAAGTTCTTCCTTTCACATAGGTTCTATATGCTGGCTGTCTCTTCTTTTGAGATTTTTCTCTTTCTTCAGGTTTTCTGTGTTTAACATTCAGCACCCCATTGGTCATGCCTACGACTATGGTTTCATCTTCAGGCTAAAATGAAGAAATCACAGAGTTAAGGATGAGGTTGAGGATGCATGCTCTGCCACACAAATGTTTAATTTCTTATGCTTCATGATAAGGCTATAATCACAATATCACAGAATAACTTAAGTTGGAAGGCACTTCTATGAGTTCCCGTGGTCAAATACCTTGTTCAGAACAGGGACAGCTTCAAGACTATGACCATAAGCAACATTATACTTCTAATAAACCTTTAACAGTGCCTAGAGGCACTACAGCCTGACTAGTAAAGCAAGCTCAAATATGTATTAACATCCTTCTGTAAATATAATCTATGACAGTTGGTTTGGTTTTTTTTTTTTTTCAATGCTGTACAAATGCCTTTGGCTATTACATGCCATACAGGAGACATCAGCACCACCTATGAGAAAGCTATCATGCAACAACAGGATTTTGAGAAACAAGTGAAAAGTTGTTCAAAATACCAGTCGATGGTATAAATTTCATCTACATAACAAAGGCTGCATGTATTTGATAATACAAGTTGCAATTCTAAATGATGCACTGGAGAAAGACACTGACTTCACATATAAAATAGTGACTTCTGATCTGTTACTCCTAACAGGTAATTCCACAAAAACATTAAACATTAGCTTAATGCTCAACTGTTAGTAAGAAAAGAGAAAAAAAAGTGTGTCAGGATTTACTGCAGAAGAAATAAAAACTACAAAGTCATCATGCCACTGAATAAATCCATTGTTTACCTATATCTTAAAACCTATGCAAGTCATTCTCCAAAACCAGTAGCAGATTCAGAATAAAAGAATCAAAAAAAACTATAAGAAGAATTAAAGGTTGGCTTGATTTGAGACAGAACTCTTCAGTACGTGGAAAAAAAATGTCAATTGAGGGATATTATAAAAGCCTACAGAACAATCACAGGAACGGATGGAGATCAGCTGGTCAGTGTCTCACTTAGGGGCATCAGATGAAGCTAATGAAGGTTCAAATGGAACAAAAGAAGACAATTCTTCACACAAGTAGTAGAAATGTGAAAGTCCTTGTCAAGCAAGCTAGTGAAGGGTAAATTTTGTCCAAGCTCTGGACAACTGAGCAGGTTTACGTAAGAGAAATTATTTGAATTACACAGAAATTACACACTCTGATGAGCTAACTTCTCATCTGAACATAATTTTGGGAAAATACCTGGAAACCTATCATACACACTTGCCTGGTTTTCAGTTTTCCACACACATTTACAAATGGCTATAGTTTGAAACAGCATCTAGAATAAGACCAGCCTTTGGCTTGACTCAGTAGAGCCAGTCTTACGTTCTCATATGATCATTTACAACTCAAGGGTTTTAGTTAACAACAAACACAAGATTATGTTTCAAAAGACACATACACAGCTCTAGACATGTCAAGATACAGGTACTGCACGTTTTGCAGCTGCTGTAGAGACTTTAAGGGTATGGGGTTTTTTTTGGTTCTGTACTCTTCACCTCAATCAAAACAATCCAAAACTCATTTAGCTCTAGCTTCCTAGGGAACAAGGTAGGAAATAAAGAGAGGAAGACACCCCATCCACACACACCTTCCCCCATGTCCCAGAAGAGCAGGACAATAGCAAAGGTAGTAAAGATCCCTCACAGTTCCTTTTACATGTCCTTCAGAGGCTACATAACAGGGACTACATGACAACAGCATTCAGTCAAAAAGTGGTGCTAGCTTCCAAATTTCTGGCCAGCAGGTCACTTACCCATTGGAACACATGTTTCAGAGAAATGAGACTCTTGATTTCTGTTTCCCAGACAGTAAGACACATGCCTTGGCAAACGAGTTTGTTTATGCTCACACCTCATGCCCTCTCCTCTTTTCCTCCTCAGATCAAACTGACACCAACAACTTTTAAGACGAGTTTTCCCTATTCTAAATTTCTTCAACAAATGAACTACTTTCCTTCTTTTACCACTGTCATACAAGAGGACTCACAAGGCTCTTAAAAGGCAAAAGATGAGTACAATCTTCCTAAAGTCAAGGGACTTCCCTTCTAAACTGAGTACTTTCCTTATAACATATACTGTCCTTGATAAACACAATATTTTGTACAGATCTAATGAGATAATATCTGGTATCTGAATGTATTACCTTTAAAGCCTCTTAATACATTTTTTACTCAGGAGGAATATATTCTGTCATCCTACTTTGCATGTACAGCATTCTTCTAGAACACCCAAGAGCAACGAAAGCAAAAATGAATTACTTCAGTGACTTAAAAGGTATCAGTAATTACCTTGCCTAGAAAGATTTCTAATGTACTTACCGACAATGCAAGACTGAGGATGGATGTTGCATAGTTAAAGCTGTGGACTACTTTGTAGGAAGTAGTACTGTAGATCTTCACATGCCTATACGGAAGAGCAATGATTAAAACCTCGTTACTAATGCCTTACTATAGACACTTCACAGGAATTTCATAACTTTCAATTTCTATAGGTCATTTAAGGAAACCAAGCATTTACACAAAGCATTCTTCAGACTATCACTGAGCTTCTTAGTTATTACTTCTCCTGCAACAGAAAAGTTCTGTCAAAAGATACACAGAAGTCAAGAAAGGATTACCCTTACCCAAAAAAGATGAAAAAGGGGCAAAGACAGAAGAAGAAATTGAAGGCAGATGTAGTTACTACTATCTTACTTCAGCAATGCTTATTAGGAAACACTAAGATAGCATTTCTTCAAATCTGTTCTTAAATTTTGAATATAAGATCTATTGACAATTTCTGGAAGTAAATCCATAGATATTCTTGTATCCAGCTGCTCTTTAATTGAAGGCAGGAAATATTTAACAAATGGTAAAACAAAACATTATCTTACAACAAGTATGAAAGTTAGTGTTGTGAGCACTGAATGACAAATCACTGCACGGCTACTGTGATCCTTCACCTTATACTCTGCAATCATAAAGCCCGAGGAAGCATGGGAGGGAGGGAAGGAGGGAGGGAGGGGAGGGGAACAGACCACTGCCATTTCAGACCACTTCATATTTCTAATATCTGAGACAACAGATTGAGTACCACTACTCAACAACTCAACCCAAACAAACAAAAGAGCAAGGACACAGTTCACCTGTGCACCTTGGGTACAAAAAGGAACAGCACAGAGACATAAAAAATAGGCTCTTTTAAAGGTGAATACTAATATACTTTCAGTTATTTAAACTGTATTAAAGTTAAGAATGGTTACTTTACAGAGACTGCAAAGGTCACTTTAGAAATTCACAGAAAAATGAATGCTTATTCAGAAGTTCCCCACGCACATTCCCAAATGGCACATGCAACCCCTACTAACGTTCACGCTAATAAGAGGAAAAGGTTAATGTATCTTGCAGTATGTACCTTGGCCACAAGACGTATTTTCAAGGAAGTTGTATCCCTAACAGTTAAAAGCGTTAAAGCACAAAAAACATGTACAGCTTGGCACTGATGTATAATAAGTGTAAAAGGAAAAAAGTTCTCAAGATTTAAATCATAATAAAGCCACAAAATATACTAACCTGTCCAGGGATCCTGACAATAACCTCTGTCCAGAGCTGTTCAGGCATAAACAAGTTACAGTTTTATGGTGATTTTTAAGTGAAACTAGTAATTGTCCACCTTTTAATACATCCCAAACTTTGACATATCGACCTCCTGTGAGAAAGAAGCACACAAAACAGTTTGACATACGTATGCATTTACACTTCTCTGGAGAAGTTCTGACAGAGTGATACAGCTCCTCCTTCATAACACAGAGTTTTCTGTATCTACTCACCATCCCCATCCATTACGACTATCTCCTGGGACAAGACATATTACAAGCCTGCTCTTTTTTAGGCCATTCTGCAGGCACAGTTGAATGATTCAACATAGTCTTCACCAAAAATAATCTAGATACCACTGGGCTACAGGACCTCTGATGCAATGACAAGAACAGATTTAAAAGCTTTGCCATCATTAAGAGAAAGATACAGCCCCATCTTTTCAAAACTTCTTAAGTATGTTCATTCCTTCACTTTAGCACTGAGCTAATAAAGTCTGTATCTTGTCATTAAAAATGTCTTTTTTTTCAGACCAACTACAAGAAAATGACTATCAGAAACAAAAAGACCTCTACTTTCACCCTCCAGATCAACACAAATTCTTAACGAAGAACTTTGAGAAACCCAGCTGTTGCATCAACTACCCCTTCATTACTGAACAAAAACACTACATAAAACAGCAGCGCTGAAATATTTCTCAAATTAAGGCCACAGAAAAGAAATTTGATTTTACTGACGTACCTGCAGACACTAGAAGCCCACCAGATGGGAACAGAAGCACACTCTCCACAGGCTGGCCATGTTCTATTGTCATGACACTACTTTTTGTTCGTGCGTCAAATAGTTTCACAGTGTGATCATAGGAACCTGCAAACACCATAAATGGCTTCAGTTTCACCATTTCAGTTACTTCAGGAACTAAAACAGCCATGTCCTACAATCTAAAGGAGCTCCTGCCAAACAGAAACAGTTTTAAACCATATGCTTAGAACACTTTGTGGTTTACCTTGGTTAATTCACAGCCTTCAGGCAACCTAATTCTTCTTACCATACTTAAGATCCTACTGTAAGAAAAACTATCTTTCTGCATTTTCCTTCAATTCAATCCAAAAGAAGCATATATAAAAAAGAAAATCAAACCTGTTATAAAGACATCTGCATTCACTTTACTTGCACAGCCACATCTCACATAGTCAGTATGTTCGCTGTATGAGACGATCTCTGTAGCACTCGGAATATCCCACAGATTTGACGAATAATCATCACCACCAGAAAATATCCGGTATTTATCAGACAGGAAACCCACTACATGAACAGCTCTAGAAAACAAAGTCCACAATATCCAAAGTTAAGATATATACTTGTTTCTAGAACAGTTAGTCTGTATGAAAAGCTTATTAAAGTATTCTTGCTAACTTAAAAGTGCAAAGTATTTACTGTTGGAAGTTACAAAGCCTCACTTTAGAGTTTAAAAACACTTTAGTTTTTATATTTCCAGCCAGAAAAGGGTCATGCTGACAGATGCTTGCCTAAGCATTGATATGATCTGCCTTAAAAGGTTTTACAGGTCTACTAGATGCTCATTCAAAAGCTGTAAATTCTGCATTTGTTACACAGAGGTCTGTGTACTAGCACTGTCCTTTAGAAAAAAATTATAATAGTGAGTTTTAAGTACAACTGGATTGGACACTCTTCTTGTCCTTTAAAATCACTATTTAAATCCGTACTATCATCACAACATCCCAGCAGAGAATGACTTTGACAGAAAACACAGATACCCTAAATCGTGTTACCATTAACCTCATGGTTAGGACAAAACACCCAGTCTACAACTACAGACCTCAAACAGAAACACTTTTAAAGTCTGTGCTTTCCTGTGAAAAGGGATTTGTTGCTGTCCTAGATAGATAAAACATGTATTGGTCTTCCACAGCACAGCCATCTGTTTAAGCTAAGCGTTATCATTGTCTTCTCACTGGTACATCAGAACTCCTTTTCTAACTCCTTCCCCACCTCAACCCCACCCCACCATCATGCACTGTTCCTGTTTTGGCTTTTTTAAAGGCATTCCTACTCCTCCTGGCATATTTCTTCACTGTTTTTGTTTAGCCACTTTTATAGAATTCTTCTCCTGCCAGCATCAAATAAAATGTGCTTATCCAGCATCATGTAGTTACAAGACTATGTCTACATAACATATTAATAGGCATCTACCTGAATTAGCAAACGCGTTTATTCTTCCATGTACTCAATTGATTTTTAAGATTTTAAAAAGCCATTCCAATTCTGAATTAAATTTCAAAATCTACTTTTCAGTAAAATCTATGTGAGACAGTGTCCTGGTTTTAGCTGGGACAGAGTTAGCTCTTCTTTTTAGCAGCTGGAAGAGCTCCGTGTTTTGGTTTTACTCAGAGGCTGGCTCTGAGAAGAACGCTGACAGCGCACTGATGTTTATAGTTGGCACTGAGGTCTCAAGGACTTTTCAGCTGCCGTGTTCTTGCCAGTGTGCAGGAGCACAACAGGATAGGGGGGAGCATGGCCGGGACAGGGAGTCCATGACTCTCCTTACGATTTGTACTTGAACTTAAGACTGAGGGCCAAACTGGCCAATTAGTATTCCATATCATGCAGCGTCATACCCAGTAAAAAAGTGAGGATCAGCCGGAAAGAAAGGCTTTTTGCCCTTCCAGGACTCTCAGAGTGCTTTCTCTCTCGCTCGCTTTCTATTTCGTGCCTCCTGTTCATCCGGGATTGCGGTATCGGGACTTATCTGTTTCGAGATCATTAGTTCAGGACGAGACAGGCCTCCGTCAAGGGGTGGTGAGCAATTACACCGTATATCACTCATTTGTATATATTTATCCTTGTACATATCCGTACATATATATATTGGTAGCAGTAGTAGTAAATTGTTCTTATCTCAACCCACGGGTCTCTTTTCTTTTTCTTCTTTGATTCTCTCCCTCATCCCTGGGGTTGGGGGAGGGTGAGTGAGCGTGTAGGGTTTGGCTGCCGGAGTGGCCTAACCCATGACATACAGTTACAAGCAACATAGATCGACATTATTCAGATTTTCAGCCACATGCAAAGCACACATAAGTAAATACAGCAATCAAGCTTATGCACACGAATAAAAAAAACCCAACACTGTCTTACTTAGTATGACCATCAAATTGTCTCAGCGGCGCTCTTCCACTAATGTCAAAGAGGTGAATGCTGCCTTCCTCACTGCCAGCAACAAGCAGATTGCCATCATCTCTGTACGTGGCACAATACGCAGCATCTTTGAAGCGAGAAAAGGTTTTGACTGGTTCCTGAGAGTAACGGCCATAAATGTGGATCTAGCAAAACAAGAAGCCATTAAGTTCGCTCATATGACACCAACTGAAGAAGAAGAACACAGAAAAGTCACAAAAGTCACTTACCCTTGAGGAGGCTGTGACGGCATAGTTATATGGAGGAACGGGGGAGAAGTCAATTTTCTTTATAGCACCAAACTCCTTTATCTGAACGGGTGTCTAAAACAATTGGGATAAAGATCATCAAATGCACACAACCACACCACCAAAACCAAAACCGGCCAAACAAAAACCTATTTTTCCTACAGAAAGATCATGGTTTCATTTAAAACCAAGTCATTTTTGAACTACAATCCTGCCGAGTTTCTCTTTTGCCAGGCTACTTTCGCTCTTATCATTTTTTCCAATTCACACATTACAATCGACCCATTAATTACGTGTTTTGAGGAAAAACCAACCTTATTCACTCACGCAAGTTTAAAAATACTTTAATTACTCACACGAAAGCAGTAAAAAAAAAAAAAAAATTCCAGGACAACT